ATACAGAAGTAATTTCATGATTTATTATTTCATTATCTAATGATTTCAAATCGTCCAATGTACGTATATTTTTTAAAAAACTAATTACAAAGTTAGTCATAGCTCGAGCAATATCTTGGTTTTCCCTTTTTCCACTATGAGAAGTGGAACGGGGTGGATTAGCAGGTAGAGGTTGAGATGGTCCAAATCTGAAGTTAAACATGGGAGGTGGCTGAACAGAGTTAGAAGATACAGTAGGAGAAGAATTGGCTTTCCTCTTTTTGTTAGGAACTGAGTAATTGTTCGAGTTTTGGCGAAAAGTTGGATTAAAATTGGTACTCGTAGTTGCATTAGAAGTAGATTGCGCAGATGTTAGGGACATTTTATTTTGTGTAATATCAGGAAAATTTTTATCGTAGTTCGCTAAAATTGAAAACTTATTTTGGCCTAGGGCCTCTGAATACGAGTTTTCATTAATTTCCTTGGCTTCGATAAAGGAAATTTTATTTTTAATCATAATATTTTTAATTTTTCGTTGTTTTTGATAAGAAGGACAACTTTTTGAAACCGAAACATGTGCAATACTCTTACAATGAATGCAACTAATCTCTGAATTTTCGCAAGAATGATTTTCGTCTTTATTCTTTCCACATCGAATACATAGATTTTGAGAACTTCTACACTGTTTTGAAATGTGACCGTATCTCAAACACCTGTAACACTGAGTAACCCTACCTACAAATTGTTCGACTGGACAAAAAACTCTATTTATAATAACATACTGAGGCAGTATATTACCTTCAAAAGCTACAATAACAGTTCGTTTTGCAACATACTCAATTGTACCATTTTTTTCAACTTTTCTATTCATACGTTTAATATTTAATATACGTGAAGGAGATTCAATATTTTCCTGTAAATATACAGTATCAAATTGAGTATCAATATCCCGAATTAAACCCTTGCTTTCTAATAAGTGACCGGGAATAAAGGCTTTTAAATTTTCTTCCTTTAGTTTACTATTATTTATAAGATTATTTGCATCATGTATAGAAGCTACTACTACCTTAATTCTGTTTCTACCAATTGCCCTTACTTGAATTATATTGGAAATTCCTAATTTTTTGTACAAAATATGACCTATTGTAATTGGATGTAAGCGACCAAGATCGGTGTTATCTATCCTTTCAATATACACAAAAATATTTTCAAGATTATACTTATCTGAATTTACGTTAAATCCTCTATTTTTTAACGGTACCACGTTTTCTTCAGGCTCCATTACTTCAGATGACCTAACAATATTGTTAGAGGCACTTAAAAGCGTCCTTGAGTCAATTCCAGTCCCCATAGGGGACGCTAACACATTTTTGAGCACTATGCGAGTATGTTTTTATTAAACACTACAATTTAAAAAACTAGCCGAATAAAATTAATTTTAAATTACTCAGTATTGCTTTAAATTCAATGAAATAAACTTTAAAATGTAGAGAGTATTTAAAAATACGTATCCACACTTTGACGTCCTTTTTAATTATACAGGGAGTTAAACCTGATACGATTTTCAGGTAATATTTTTTATAACTTTAACATTAAATACCCGATATAACATAATAAAACTTTACATTGTTGTGATGTAGAAGTGAAGCAGATTTCAAATTTAAAATAAAATACAGGGTGTTCCGTTAAAAAAAAAACATAAGTTTGGTATGCCATCACCTTATGGAACACCCTTTAAGATTTTAACTAATTTTAAAATGTGTAGTTTAAAGCTGCCTGCAATTTTTGTCAATAACTTTTTTTTTGTAATTTTTACTATAACAGAGTTGTAGTTTTATTGGAAACGAAAATGCAGAGGCGTGGGCGTAGAGATTTGCTTGTATACATTGCAGTTTGCTGATGCCCAGGTTTTTATAGGAAACGATAGAGATGATGTGGAATACATGGCAGGGAAATTACAAGAAGAATATAGGAAGTGGGGAGTAGAAATTAATACAGAAAAAAAAACAAAATACCAGCCAATAGGTACCGAACTATCGAACATCACATTAGAAAATAACGAAATCATCATGTCCTGCGAGCATTACACATACCTAGGAATCGTTTTTGACACAACGGGGAAAGATGATGAAGAAATAAAGAGAAGAATAACACAATCCAGAAAAACAATAGGTTGTCTAAACAGCATACTGTGGAGTCATGAAATAGGAAAAAGAAGACAACACAATATCTACGAATCTCTTATTAAAAGCAGTCTATTGTACGGAGCAGAAACTTGGCGAATAACCGAAAACAATAGAAGAAAACTGGAGGCAGTAGAAATGGACGATTTTAGAAGATTAGTAGGAGTGTCACGCACAAAGAGATTACGTATTGATGAGATAAGACAGCGAATGGGGGTTGACGGCTCTCTAACAACAAACTTAGAAAGAAAACGGTTGATAGGGTATGGACACATCCAGATGATGGGTAACTCAAGACTCCCAAAAATAATTATACAATGGGTATCACCAAACTGCAGAAAGAGAGGAAGAGAGGAAGAAATCTTGGAGAGAGAGAGAGAGAGAGAGTACCGAAGGCGATGAGCGCAATAGATCTTAGAGAGGACCAATGGGATGATAGAGTGTCATGGAAATTCGGCATCGGACAAAGGCGCAAGACGTTTTAAAACCGATTTATATATATATATATATATATATATATATATATATATATATATATATATATATATATATATATATATAACTGTTTTTGATGGGTTGGAGTCAATAAAAGGGGCTATTTGTTGACTATTTTTTACTCGAGCTTTCAATTGTGATTACAATTTTTATCAAGAGCTTCTAAAAAATACAAAATGTCTTACAAAGTTGAACTAGAAATAAAAAATTTTTTGTTAACTCACCAAATAAAATTAGTTTTTTATATAAAACTACTGCTTACATAATAAATACAAAAAATATTAATAAAAAAATGCCTTATTCTAATAAATGTTTCTCTGAAAAATTTAGATGAAGTTTCTTAAGAAAAAAATTGAATTTATAAACAAAAATAGAATAGCTACAACCAGCCTAAAATGTCATAAATACTAACTTAAAAATTTTTATTTTTGACATATTGTCAAAAATAAAATTTTGTTTAAAAAATTCTTCTTTGTTTAGTAACAAAAAAGAAGAAGATTTTTCACCATTGATAGATGCCCGAAAAAATGTAACAAATACATGGAAAATTCAAAATGTGATATTTTACTGACTGCATAAATTAAATAGAAATTATATAATTATAAATTTTGCTTAAATTTTGAATTTCTGACCTTTTGTTTAAATTATTATCACTTTTGCTAATACAAACCATTTCCAAAAAAGTTCTTTTAAATTTATTACTTTCATTACATAAAATTTTAATATTATCAAAATCCATAATATGGTCTTTGTCTATTACATGCTCTGCCAAAGCACAAGATGGTTTCTTAATTCTACAATCACTCTTGTGAGAAATAATGCGATTTGAGAGATTTCTTCCAGTCTCACCAATATACTCAGCTTCACACTGAGTACAAACAATGCTGTATACTACATTTGTTTGATCTAATTTGTCTATAGGATATTTAGTTTTGGAATATAAAGATGAAATAGTTTTGATGTTCTTTGTTGCTATTTTTATATTGTCAATAACCTTTAATGTTTGTATTAATTTAGGAGTTAATGATGGTATAAAAGGTAGTGAATGATAATATATGTTTTGATTGTTGGATACAGTGTTTGAGATTTAGCAAAAAATGGTGTTAAGTTATTTATATTTAATAAATTAGAAAAAATAAACATGTAATAGACAAAGACCATATTATGGATTTTGATAATATTAAAATTTTATGTAATGAAAGTAATAAATTTAAAAGAACTTTTTTGGAAATGGTTTGTATTAGCAAAAGTGATAATAATTTAAACAAAAGGTCAGAAATTCAAAATTTAAGCAAAATTTATAATTATATAATTTCTATTTAATTTATGCAGTCAGTAAAATATCACATTTTGAATTTTCCATGTATTTGTTACATTTTTTCGGGCATCTATCAATGGTGAATAAATCTTCTTCTTTTTTGTTACTAAACAAAGAAGAATTTTTTAAACAAAATTTTATTTTTGACAATATGTCAAAAATAAAAATTTTTAAGTTAGTATTTATGACATTTTAGGCTGGTTGTAGCTATTCTATTTTTGTTTATAAATTCAATTTTTTTCTTAAGAAACTTCATCTAAATTTTTCAGAGAAACATTTATTAGAATAAGGCATTTTTTTATTAATATTTTTTGTATTTATTATGTAAGCAGTAGTTTTATATAAAAAACTAATTTTATTTGGTGAGTTAACAAAAAATTTTTTATTTCTAGTTCAACTTTGTAAGACATTTTGTATTTTTTAGAAGCTCTTGATAAAAATTGTAATCACAATTGAAAGCTCGAGTAAAAAATAGTCAACAAATAGCCCCTTTTATTGACTCCAACCCATCAAAAACAGTGTTATATTTTTTCCAAACGAGTCACAAGTACTTCTTTTTTCTTATATATATATATTATATATATATATATATATATATATATATATATATATATATATATATATATATATATATATATACATAATATTATCCGTTTTAAAAGTGACACACTGTATACCAAATTGTAAACTATTTTTATGTAATATGTATCTTACTGTTTGTACATCTCCCCCCGCTAATAATCCTTTGTGGTTGATGCGTGTATATTTATGTAAATAAAAAAAACTAAACAACACGAATAATACAAATATTTTCTACAATATTTAAAATTATGTCTCGTTTTAAACTGTTATCGTTTTAGTATACACTCCCAATATTCATGATTATTCTTTGTTTTTAAATTAAGAAGAATTCTAACGTAAGTATATCGAATATACATGTTTTGCCTCGGTAGTAGGAAGAAATATAGCGTTAGTATAATGTTATAGTTTTTTCATGAAAATTTACATACTTTATTGATTTATAGATACGCCACTGAACGGAATACCGCCACTATCTGAAACTCATTCCTCAAACCATTGGCATAGCAACGAGAATCCAAACAAAGACATTGCTGCAGAAATAAACAATGTAGACAGACAGGTAATTCACAATAACGACGATAACCAAATTCCTGATGTCCCGTCTGATGCTGAAATAAGTGCACTAAAAAATAACGATGGTGCACTACCGAATAATTTACTAGGAGAAAACTTGGACGAAGGTGTGGTAATCGAAGAAACAGTATTTGTGGAAAGTGGTGGATTTTTGTCAGGAATATTTTCCTTTTTTGGTGGTGATAAAGGAAAACACGAGACTGTAGACACTCATTCAACTCCAGTGAGCAATGCAGACCGTTTAATACACGAAAACACCCAGCACTCTAATTACCGTGAGGAAAACGGTGACTATTACCTTAGTCGTGAGGAAAATTGTGATACTCTAGAAAATAACAGTATGTTAGAAAAATTAGTCTTCCTTATGAGCTCAGATATTCTTATTTACTTGGGAACAACTGCTGTATCTTGTATAATATTTTTATTCGCTTATCTATTGATAGACAAAAGCAGTAGAGAGGCGCCGCTAGTGCAAAAAATTAATAAATTAGAAAAAGAATTGCTGGTGATTATGAAAGAGAACGATATCTTGCAAGAAAGTGCTTCGACCGGAACACATGTTAATTCTGAGGAAGTTGATCTGTTAAAACAAAAGTTGGAGGAGCAAGAAGTTCTAAGGCAAACTCTTGAGATGCAAGTCTTGAGTCTTCAGAAGGAAATTGAAAATAAAAATGAGCTCGAGGACCAGATCGAGAGCTTGGAGAAAGAATTGGAATCATCTACAGAGGTGGGCATGGAGTTGAACAGGATCATTTCGGAAATGTTGGATTCAAATAATGGAGGTGAGTGGAAATATACCTTTTTAAAATTAAAATTGTTTTATTACTTATTATAACTGTCACGGTTCGATTTTTTTTTTCAATATTTTTTTACAACTTTCACTAGTACAACTGCATGTTTCTGTTAATTTTATAAAATTCCGACTTACCTTCACATAAGAAAAACCAATTTCTCTACACCTGTGTATACAGAGAGAAATCTCCTCGAAATCCTTGATTGAGGAGTCTAAAGCTGTATATAAGCCGATTCTTTTTTTATCTGCTTCTTAGATATTTTTACTGCAGGATAAGTTTCCCATGTATTGTATTTTGTGATCTTAAAAGATTGACTTAAATTCACGAAAATTCGACAAAACGGAATGGAATGACTCTCCATGGCTTTCTGGAGCTACTCTTAAATTTCCTGCTGCCTTTTTTGTTTATATTGAGGTCTTGGCTCTGTATGTCATTATCAGTTACACATACTCATAATATATCTCCCGGAATTTATCAAAAGCAACCCAATCCAAGCCTATTCTACGCCATATTTCATGCGTTTGTTTGATCTTTCCAATATGTATTTCGGGCTCAAAGTATTTCCAAACATGTGTTTCTTTTATGCCGAGATCCCTATTCTGATGTTTTCTACGGGCACAAATAATGACAAATTTAGTTTTGCTTAAACACCTATTGTTTGAAGACCTTGAACCTTTGTTTCAAGAAAGGGAAGAAGAATATGGGAAGAATAAGAAGGCCTGTTCAATTCAAATTCCTTAAGGTTCTTCTAGATACTGAGTTTTAAGATTCTTAGATTTTCCTTTCAAAAAAAGAAGTGGCATAAGAACATGAGAAGAAAAGAAGAAGACCTGTTTGCTCTACATTCAGTAGAATTTTCCCTGACACAAAGAAGAAAAAAATAAGTCGGTTTCTCGATTGAAAATTAAATAAAGGTCTTTAGTCCAGTCGTCATAGATTTTACCTCTAAAAATTATACGAACAAGCTGAATTTTGCTGAGAATGTCAATTTTAGGACTCGAAAAATATGCAAAAATGTTTACCGCTCATACCTCCTGGCTTCCCTCTAAAAGCTCTCCTCGCAGGGGGAAAATCGATTTAAAAAGAATCTGTACGTCATAGAAAAAATATTTCAAATAAAAAATGTAGCTGAAATAATTTTGAATAGAAATGTTTATTAGCACTTTTTATGTAAATGGACAGTTTTATGTAAATGGAATATAAAATGGACAGTTTTATCAGAAACAACACTTGAAGCGAACGGCGATGTTGAATTTCAGTTAACCCGCACGAAATCAATTTTAAATAAAATTTGTATCAAGTCAGCAGTAACAATTCGATATCTTTGGATCACAGTGTCCTATCGACAAAAATCAAAATCTGTTTTAAGGTGAAGAGAACAGCTTTTGTATGCAATTTTGTGTTTCGTCGCAAATAAAGTTTCTATAAATCTGATCAATAAATAAATATTGCGCGATTTTTGCCATTTTTTACGATTCTCATAAGATCTTTAAAATTTGTCAATATTGACCGGTCGTAGTGGAATTTTCATTGTTAGTCTAATTTTTAAATCCTTCTTCTTTTATGTAGACATGATTCAATGCCTCCAGTAAGTTGTCGTTACATCGTTTTTGTTGTCTTCCGAGCTTTCCGTAGCTAGATAATCTGATGCCTAGACATTTAAACTCCATCGCTTGTTCTATTATCTGACCTTTCAGCTCCAATTTACATTTAGGGGTCGATTAGTTCTTCTTCTACTTTTAGTTTTATTGTGTCGTTTTGGTAGATATTTTCGATCGTTTTGATTATTCCTAGAGGTATCTCTCTTGCGTACAATAAGTGGATAACGTCCTTTAATTTGACCGGGTCAAATGCCTTCTTAAGGTCTACGAAACATAGATATACCGGTTTGTTGTATTCTCATGATTTCTCTAGCGCTTGCCTCCTTATGAATATAGAGTTAGTGCATGATCTTTCCGTTCTTGACCTTGTTGTTCTTCTGCTAGTGTCATAATTTCATTAAGTTTATTTGTTATCACTTTGGTTGTTAATTTTAGTGTTGTGTTTTATAAATTAATTCCTCTGTAATTTTCTGGGTCCGATTTGTCTCCCTTTTTGAAGAGAGGTTGTAATATGGTTTTTATCCATTCTTGTGCAGCTTTTGTATGTATATTTTGCTTTTGGTGGTATTCTGTTTGGTTCTATTATTTTTTTTAATTAGTTTTAATAATTTTTTGGTCAGATCTGGTCCTGTACTTTAGGAGTTCATTCGGTATTCTGTCCTCTCCTGGTTATTTTTAATTTTTTAATTTCCTTAATGCTTCCTTTACCTCTTCCTCGTTAATATTTATTCCTTCGTTTGTCATTACCTCTGGTGTTGGTGGTTCATTATCCATTTAGCAAAAAGGGATGGAAAGTAGTCTACTCATGTTTCTTTCTGAATGTGTTTCGTTTTTATTAGTTCATTCTTCTCTTTTCTTTGACATCTGATCATTCTCCATATTTCTTTTTGTGTTTCGTAGAAGTCGTGTTCCATCTGTTTTGAGAAGCTCTGCCAGTATTCCCTTTTCATTTGTCTAACTAAAATATTCGTTTTATTACTGATTCATTTATAGTGGCTATATGCCTGTTGTGTTTGTTATGTTCTGTATTGTAAAAAGACTTCTTCTTTTCACTTCCTTTCTGAAAAATATGAAAAGAAGAACATCTGTCGACTCCAAATTCTGACTTATTGGTCCTTAAACTAAATAGAGCCTATATAAAGAAAAGCTTACTCCAATTTATTCCTTATATCTCTGTAGGTGACTCCTTTGTGTTTTACGTCCAAATTCTTTGAAAATCGTTACCCTCTGAGGGTGAATGAAAGTTTTCTGCCATACCAACCTTCCGAACCAACCAAAAAAAAGTTTCCCTTTAAGTTTTTAACTTAACTTTCAAAGTAACCATTGAGATATAATAAATACATTGCCTTTCTGTTTCTCTTTAACTATATGTGGTATTTTCTAATAGAGTAATAGAGTAACAAAAGAGACTTGTTGAAGAGAAATATCTTTACATTTACCCATCTAAAAACATTCCAATCGGAGATTAACTGCCTTATTTTATGATTAGAAATTAACCAAATTCAACATTAACATTACTACACTGCAACACTCACCACTGAAAATTTTGCAAAAGTTGAACACCAATCACTAATTTCAGTAAAAAACTAAAATTGGAAAAAGTCTCCTTACTGTACATTTTAGCACATTCTATTGCCATCTGTCAAGTTTTGACAATTCAATCAAAAAGTTTCACAATTTTTAACTTAATTATGTAGCATGATTATTCACTAATTGTTATGCAAACCATTCAGTAGATCTTTATCACTGTGAATATACTTTTAAGGTATTCGAAATACAAAAGACTAAAATTTCTATTGCGAGTCTGATAATTTGAGCAGGGACAATATGATACATTTCTTGGTTGTTGATCACAGTAGGCTGGTTGTTTCTGGTGTCCAGTCGCAGTTTTCGTAATATATTTTCTCACCCTTTTTTTGTATCTTTATTATAAGTCCCGTTTTTCATTCTATGCAGTTTCCTAAGCTTGGTGTGTTGCAAACAGTACATCGCTTGTATATCCATGTCTTGGATTTTTAATCCTCTAGACTTGTATAGTTATTCAATTCTTTCAGAATGATAGAATTCTTCTGTAGCTCTTATTTTTTATTTGTTTCTTTTTTATGTTTTGTCTTAATTTGGTAGTTACCTGTAATGGCTGTAATAGATCTCGTTGATATTCTTTCTGATTTAGTTTCTGTTTCGTAAAAAATAGTATTAATAGTTTTCTGGTATCTACTCTAAGGGAGTACTATAGTACAACATAAGTTTTCTGTGTCCTTGATTTTTTTTAATATAGTTATGCCTTTATTATTTCAGGTGAGAAGTTAAAAGAAAATGTCGAGCAATTACACAGGCAACTATTAGAACAGAAATCGATCATAAACGATATTTCCAAATCGTTGAGCGACAAAGAAGAAGAAAGTGCTGGCTTGCAATCGCAGTTGGACGAGAGCAAAAAACACTCTACTGACTTGCAACAGAAACTAGATGAAATCGTAGAACAGATTTTGAGGATCGAAAGAGAAAGGGGCCAACAAGAAAAATCTCTTCAGGAAGAAATTTCGATTTATCGACAAAAATGTAGTGAAGAAATGATGAAGAAGGAGATGTTGAGTAACGAAATCAAGGTAAGTTGATCAATACATAGTCTTCCATTATATCTCTTTTATTTTTGGTTAAAATCTGGCGAGATAGTGTGCAATATGCTTAAAATTTTAACGTCGAGGTACCAGTCACAGTTGAGATTTTGCAGCAGTTCAAATAATTCGATTCTCTATATTATGCAGCCTGTTCAATAAGAGCTCTATTTAAGTAACTTGCTTTAGATTTCATTGACATGCTCTCTTAGTGACAAATATTTGATAGGCACAACAATTTTTTATCCAATTCTTTTTCGAAATTCATAATCTGTGTTCTCTAGTATTTAGTGCATCTTTAAAACCAAACTGCTTCTCTTCATGTTTTCTTTTCATTTGTGCGTGATCCGCTGTGAAGTATTCTTAGAAAAAGCTTAATGGCATGACTCACTAATATTATTGATTTAATTTATATTCCAAAAATTTTATCGATTTGTATTCTTTGTGAATTGCGATAAATGTAGAGTGTATAAGAATTCTTACAGGTATTGTAATAATATATTGTATTAAAATTTGTTTTGCTATTTTTTTATTTTTTTATCGTTTTATTCGAGTCCGGTATTTCAGGTGTAAATATAGTTAGTATAATTACTCTTATCTCTCTCCTCCTCTCTCTCTCTCTCTCTCTCTCTCTCTCTCTCTCCTCTCTCTCTCTCTCTCTCTCTCTCTCTTTGCGAGAGCACAGTTAAGCATAAAAATTCAAATCGAAGTAGTTAGTGATCCAAGTATTTTTTCTCGGTTATCTCGGAAAGCACTTATTTGCAATATAATTAACTATTTTCTTGTGACATTTAAATTTAAATTGGAGTATGCGCCCAAATCGATTCGCTAATTGATACTAATTTTCTTCTTTATTCTCAGATCTTGCAAACTCAACTCGCAGACGCTCAGCGTAAAGCAGATCTAAAAATAAAAGAGTACCAATCTCTGAAAGATAGTCTGAAGGATATAAAATCGATAAAGAATGACAACGCAGCCCTTCAGTCCCTTTTGGACGTCACGTCGATAAAAGCCGAGCTCGAGCAGCTAAAATCCGAGAACGAAAGATATTCCTTAATAATAAAACAAGAAGAAGATGCCAAGATACTCTTTGAAAAGAAATGCCAAGCTGTGATAGATGAAAACAATGCATTATTGAAGAAGTACCAGGAATCTGATAAGGAAAAAGTGGAAGCTACAATGAAACTGGAAGTTTTAAATAATTATTTTAAGAAAAGAGAGGAAGAACTACAAAGGTGAGATCAATACTTATTGTTTTTGTCGATACTCAAATATTGTCCTGTTCAACTCATAAGTGATTTATTTCTCGTTTTATCTCTACCAATCTTGATATGTATGAAAGTCGGCGAACATATACAGAGTGTCTTATTTAAATTAAAAAAGTTAAGGGTATGTCTGGTGAAACTGAAAGTACAGTAGTAACAAAAAATGTGGCGTCAGATACTTTATGTGTGCATATAAAGTTTCATGAATTCTTTTTAGTTTCAAAGATATTAACTTGTTTCCATACTTGACTCCTCTGTATATATAAATTGGAAAGATCTTTGATATCAGTTTTATTATTAATACAAGTTTATTCTTTTTTAATATGAATCATCTCTAATATACATCATTTATTGAAATTTGGCTCTTTCTAAAATCTGTACATTTTCAAAATCGAACAAATGGTTATTTTTTAAATAATTATTATTTTCTTATGCTGTTTTTCTTCTTCTTCTTCCTCTTTATAAGCAATTCTGCTTGTTCATTGCCATCAATTTCTATATTACATATGGTTTATCTACATCATATTGTTTTAGCTTTCTGAGATAATATTGTCATATTAAATTCTTTTGCTCTTATGCTAAATCTGTAGATTAGTATTTGCAGACTATCTTCATCTTGGGCTATCAATAATTCTGTATCATCTTCCTTTGTTAACGCCAGGGGCGGCTCGTGATAGTACAAGCTGGTGAGGCACACTACACTTAAGGAAAATTATTATTATTATGGTTAGCTTCTCTTTGCTCCAGTCATACCCGGGTAAGGAGGCATTGCTCGCGCCAGCAAACAATGACTTGGCGTGAGAAGGACTTCTGACGATACGTGCGCGGATCAACAAAAGTCATCCTCACCTCAAAGCTCTCCTAAGCCCTCCTCCACCCTCCCTTATGTGCACTGAAGGTGAACAAAAGGGCTGACTGCTTTTTGAAAAAGTCCGCGATTGAGCTGTATTTATGAGCACCATGTGTAATAGGGTGCTCATAAATGTAACTTAAATCATACCCAAGGTGTCGTTAAGCGACTTACTCCCGTTTATCATGAAATCTCATATCGTGAGATAAAAGCGAACGAAAAACGAGGGAGCTGTAATCCTCGAACCTGCACCTTGGTTAGCGGCCAAGTTGTAGCCTCAAGGATCTAGGTGGCCTCTCTCCCGTGGCCTTTTTGTATTTTTATAATTTTTTTGTGAATTTTTTATTATTTTATATATTTTTTTGAATTTATATATTTTTTATTAATTTTTTTGGGATTTTTATATTTTTTTGGGGGTTAGTAGGTATTTTTTATCTGGGAGATTTGTTAGTAAGTGTTATAAATGGCGACTGCTAATCTAGTGCCATCTTCTTCACGATCAAATTTGGTAGATAAAAATTCAAATAAATCTTGAGCAGAACGCCCGGAACTTACATCGTAAAATCCTATGAATCGTTCGACTGGTTTATTGTTTATTACGTAACGAAAAATAACGGATAGTTGTGAATGGCAGCTTATATCAGTAGTCTCATCCACCTGCCAGGAAAAGAATAATGATTTTGAAATTTCTTCCTCAATTTTTTTATTTATAACAATTGCAAAGCAATTGAATCGATTAATTCATTTTGTATGGTTTTAGATGTCCCAGAAAAAAACTGATCTAGAGTCATTATCATGTTCTAAAAATGTTTTTAAATTAGTGTCAAATTTACTAACAAGAACAACTAGCTCTTTGAAATTCCCGCAATTTAAAGATTCATTAGATTCATCATGCCCCCTAAACGGTAACTCTTGCATACAGAGGTGTGACGTAATATCTGTAAGGCTTTTTAAAATTTGCCGATTTTCTTTAACCCTAGCATTGAAATTTTCAATATCTATTTTACGCGAATTGTCTAGTGCTGTAGCGATATTTTGCTTTTGTTTTCTCATAAGAATAAGCTTGCAATTCGATGTAATATGTTGAGAACTTTTATTGTGTAACAATAGACTCCGAGACAAATTTTTCAAATCAGTATAACCATTTTTGAACCAAACTTTGTCGCTAGTATTAGCTGTGGCAAATAAAATGCATGGCCAACAAAACAATTTATTTAATGTTATACTACCCGTAAGCCAGTCAAACTTTTCGTACCATGCATTTTGAAATCCCCGATTTGGTTTTCCGACGCCACCGATAGAAACAAGATGTTTACTTAAATCTGGAATAGGTCGTTTTACTACTTTAACTATATATAATTTATCTTCATATGAATGACTTGAAAAATTCTGCTGTTTGACTAAAAAATTTACGAGATTACAAGTATTACGAATATTTACATTTACCTGGGAAAGTTGTGACGAAGTGCTCGGTGCTAAATCCATTTTTCACTAAAACCGAAAATCCTGCAGACAAAAACAAACCCACCAAAATTATTAAAAAAACTTAAGTAGAATTGCACTTATTATATAACATGTAATCTTACTGTTTTTTTAATGAAAAACAACACGAGATACGTCAAACGTGATCCTGCCGCACCAACAGGTCAACAGGAAGTAATTTAACTACTACTTACTACAACAATTTTGCAGAAATGTTCCAAAATGTACCAAAGTTGCTAATCTGGTAAATGCATAGAAAAAAAAATTGTTTGTTAAATCCATCGAGCAATAAGACAAAAGAGGGAATCTAATCCTTATGAAAAGGAGACCAAAAAAGTGGCCTCTGATGGCGGACATATCCGGAAATGCAAAGGCGCTAAATTTAAATTTTCTGACACTTATTAAGAATAGCTATAAAATATTTTTCAGACGAGAAAGTTTTAATTAAATATTAACGATAATAGTCTAAAATATGACACAATTGGTAAAAAACTTCAATATAAATTAAATTTCATGTGACAAACAATAACATAACCCAACTAAATTTGATGTCAAACAAGGAGAGAGACTATCTTTCCTTGTTTAAAGTGGCCTCTAAAGATCGCACTTCCTGTCTAACAATATGTTTGCCCCCACTAACTTTACATTCTTTTTTTTATCTTTTTGCTCGATGGTTAAATCGGAAAACAATAGAACAATATGTATAGTACCATCTACTAAAGGAAAATACTCCAATGTTGTTACAATTTTCAAATAAAAATCTATGTTTTATTTAAAATGTACTTTTATACCCCAAGGGAAAAAATTTAGCAAATTGGGTACCTTTGTACCAAAACGGCAACGCTGCTAATTAAAAGAACTACACCAAACGAGAGAGGTTTGCCTCTCCTGTTCGGTGAAATAGTGGGCAGAAAATAAATAAATCATGTTGAATTTCGCTACATAATGTGATGTCTAATATGCTAGACAGAGTAATGCCGTGAGGCTTGCCTCGGCTATAATTTTTAAAGAGAGAATGAGATGCACAGATGATAGGCGCCGTTGTTTATTTAATATTTTGTGGTTTAAGCTTGTCCCTTGTCCGGCCCGTAGATTATGAAGAAATATACAAAGATAAGACATCAGGGGTGTACCTATTTTAATTTTTTATCATAATGAAAATAAAGTTTAGAAAATTCCAAAAAGTTAAATTGTAGTTAAAGAACGTAAATAGTCGATTAATACTGGTGAGGCACTGCCTCACCTGCCTCATAGGACCAGCCGCCCCTGGTTAACGCTTTTGATGAATGCATCCATGATTAAATCGAAGAGCATGGGTCTCAATGAATACCCTTGTCCAACCTTGAATAGGCTTTGTAAGTTAAAAAAAAGCTAGTAGCTGAAGTAGTACGTTAGTCTCTTTGAAGAGGTTTACTCTCCTGACACTGGAACTCACTTCAAACATGTTACCTGAAGTCAAATTCAATTTAATATTTAACATCACATTTTAATAACAACAATATGTACAATCTTTAATAACTACATGTAATTTAAAGCGCTTTTACCCTGGTATTTTGGTGGCTCAGGCATTTTAACCTAGCAATTTTAAACCTGATGATGGACTGTTTAGTCCGAAAACGTTTGTTTTTTTGATGTAGCCCTTTTAAGGGTTTTTAAATAAATATACCCATTTACGAAGACTAACCTCTTTTTTGTGATACGTGGTATAGAGCCAGTTACAGGAATTGTTTTCCTTGTGGATTTTGTTTTGTAAGTTGTCCATCTATTCTGAATTCCATTTTGTTGTTTTGGTAGATGTTTTCGATAGTTTTTATAATGTTACGGTACATTCTCTATTATGCAGAAGATGGATTACATATTTGAGTCTTACTCTGTCAAACGCTTTCTTAAGGTCAATCAGACACAGAAATGCTGGTCTATTATACTCTAGTGATTTCTCAGTAATTTGCTTTATAACGAATATTGCATCTGTACACGATCTTCCACTACGAAAACCCTGTTGTTTCTCTGCTAAACTTATGCTCTGATTGATTAACACTAGTTAAATTTTAGTTGTAGGTTTTAGGGTAGTATTTAACAAGTTTATACCTCTGTAGTTTTCTGGCTGGTTTTTATCTCTTTTTTTTTTAATAATAGAATTAGTTCGCTCGTTCTCAATTCTTGCGCTATTTTATTGTGTTCTTAATTGTTCTGTCATTGCTGCTTCACTATATTGCAATAATTCGTTTGGTATCCCGTCTTTACTTATTGCTTTTCTGTTCTTCAGCTTTTCAAGTATTTTCCTGTCCATAAGTTCTTCATTTGTGCTAATTTTTGGTGTTTCCTAGTGGTATGGTGTTTTTATGTTTGATAAATCTTCTTTATAGATATTAATGCGGCTGTCCAATATATGCTGGGCTCTGACCTTGACAATATCCGCGCATCAGCTCATCCAAAATTATTAAAATTTGTACGGTCGAACGTAAATTTGTACTTTGCTCATGTATGAGTCATAGCTGTTTAGAAAATCAACTACTTCTACTATGTTTAATATTAGGTTTCAATTTTGAAAAATATTTATTTAATGGTTTTTGGGTGAAAAATTATATTGGGCAAGGATATGGTTTGGCCATCGTTGATATTTTTTGGGGTTAATGTAATGATTTTTTAGGATTTTCGCTAATAATTTAAGATTGTTTCTATTAAAATTCTCTTAGTATGAAAATGGCAAGTACTTACTATATGAACATATAGCACTATATTATGTTTATCTAGGCCTAGGGAACCACCCACTAGGGACTTTTAGTCGAATAATTAAATTAATAATGTAATTTTAGCGAACTTTTGAAATACAAGACAATTTGGGATGCTAAAGAAGGCGAGGCCACATCAACTACCGAACGAATGAAATTGATGGCAGAAGAAACTGAAAATTATAAGTAAGTATTTTTAACAAATTTATTAACGATGATTTATATTTATTTAAAAACAATCTTGAAAAAAAAAAACCAGTCAAATGATGCCGGTCGGAAAGTAGTCACATTGAGCAGGTAATTTGACAATTGAATTAACAGAATGAACTGTAAAAAAATGATCCATTTTTATTTTATTATTTGATTATACATGTAAGAATTAAAAAATATATATTTTTTAAAGTATTTTTACTTTGAAAAATAGAAAATTTAATATGTATGTATAATTAAAAGCAAAAACATATCAGGGACGTAGAATTATAGGAAAGGTATAAATAAAAATTGTTTAAAAACAGGTCAGAAAAGATCATAGTCAAGTGTTTAAATAATTAAAATAAACTAAACTAAAATGTAACTCAAAAATATCCACTACCCGACTGAAACGAAAATAAACTAAAGTGCAGCTGTATCTTGAACTAAACGTAAACTGTGAAAGGGACAAAAAATAGTAATTATAATTCTTAGAAAAAAATATCAATAATAAAAAAGAAGTAAATAATACTGCTTCCATCAAAGCTAATACCAAAGGATCAAAATAATAGCCAAGATCCAACCAAGTACCGCCAATTACGTGTCCTACAACTTTGTAAAAATTGGTCACACAATGTGTAGCCCAGCTTATCTACCAACACTCCGCTCTAAATATTATTATAGAACCTCAGGAGAAAGGACACGCTAAGGGTTCCACAGACTGCAAAGAACAATTTCTTATCGACTCAGTCATTTTTAACTAGACATACAGCAAAAAAAGTAACATACTCACTGCCTTTATTGACTACAAGAAAGCCTTTGACTGAGTGGCGCATGAATGGCTTGTAGATATATTAAGAATATGTAGTCGATAACAATATAAAATATGTATGTCTTTTTAAGACACCCATTAATGACAGATTAGAAGACTAAAAGTCACCTCCAAATACCTGTTGACAACAATATCGAAACGGAAAATAGCGCAATTAACCGCGTCCTATTCCAAGGAGACCCGTTGAGTCCATTGAACTCCACTGCCTCAGGTCTTAGCATTAAAAACAACAATTCTGTAGTGGCGAAGCTTAATCATCTGTTGTATATGGATGATTTGAAACTAATGGCTTCCGCTCGAAACCACTTAGACCAAATGCTAAAAACTGTAGAAACATTCTCTAATGATATTAGTATGCACTTCGTGCTAGACCAGTGCCGTGTTTTGAATATAGTTCAGCCCGTAGGATTTGATATGCAAAATGGCCAAAACATCAAGGCTGTGGTTGAAAATACATGTACAAATATCTAGGAGTAAGGCAAGCGCGGAAAATTCAGCATAAACAAATGAAAATCGAATTAACTTTAGAGTTGATAGAACTGATTGACAAAAGATATAGAAACTCTTTAGCGAAAACCAAATATTTTATCTTTTACCTTTTAAAAGCCCAATCCTTTTATACCGGTGGTATCTGGGATGAGTTAATTTGCCCCTTAGACGGAGTGTGAGCCGTATAGCTAAATCTGAAATAAATAAATAATAAATTCGTCATGAATGGATGAGAAACAGTCATAAAACGTTTGGATAGCGCTGTACTACGGTCAAACGTGTGAAACACGGGCAACTCCCGAATTTACCCACAAGCTGCTCCCCCCAGACACGGAATAATGAATAAATACTGAAATTCCAATCGTTTCTTGAGTCGAAGGAGTCCGATAACTTGGGGAGAAAATACGCGGTTTCGCGTATTCGCGTTGTAGCTACGTTCTATATAACATTCATTTCAGTGTAGATTTTAATGCATTTTTTTTTGTAGATCGCAGAACGAAACGCTCAAACAAGAAATTGTTTCGCAAGAAATCGAACTGAAGAGTCAAATTTCGATGTTGGAAAAGAAAGTTCACGACAATTGGGTGACGTCCAGACAGATGGAAAGGAAGTTGGAGGACAGCAGACAGGAAACAGCTCTTTTAAGAAATCGCCTGACGTTAAGAGAGAGGGCTATGATCGACGAAAGGACACAAAACAGTAAGCTACTTTGTTTAATCGTAATGATCGTAATTTAATTATTAGTAACTGTTTAATTTTTCATATAAACACCGTTATTTTTTCAGGGTTGCAGTCTCCCGTTGATCAAAACGGTGAACTCACGCTGTCCCCTCCGCCCATCGAATCTCCCGCATCGCCGGCAATGTTATTCGGTGGACGTGATCACATAACAAAGTCACCCCCTATACCCGGTCTTCCTCCTTTCCTACCCCCACCTCCTGGGGCTCCGTTTATGCCGCCACCTTTGCCTGGTATGCCATTCATGCCGCCGCCGCCCTCCATGTTTCCCGGAGATCACAGACCACCGCCCCTCGGAAGAATGTCGTCGCCGCCACCGCTTAATTCAAGGTAAATGATATTTTAATACAATGGTATCAAAAAAGTGTTATTATAGTAATATGAATTAATAAATAAAATAATCTTTATGGTTAAAACCATACTTCATATTCCACCAAACTTCATATTTGCATTTATGATATTTCAAAATTTCCATTTTATATACTCTACAAATTATAAATTGCATAACTATATTTAAGTAACTTGCTTTAGATTTGAGTAACATACTCTCTTGGTGGCAAATGCTTGATAAAATTAACACAACAATTATATAAGTACTAAATTTTCTGTTCTTGTTTCTAAATTTTATATTCAATGTAAAATATACAACTTGAGGGCCAGTAGAAAAAATCAGAAGATTTTGTCATACAGTGTAGGTAAAATTTTATGGTCGGTATGGTAAAACTTAACAGGATGTCTAACACATATATAAAATCATATTTTCAGCGAATAGACAAAGATAACCATCATATTCCCCCTTGGTCTCCCCTCCATAAATCTTCTTGACGCCCATTGCCTGTTAGTGAGACGATTAGTTCCGATCAGAGATATTTTACATATTCTGTGGTTCCGATCCTCATAAAGCTAAGAAACTAGAGGTGGGTCCTCTAGTTTTTTAAATTTTTATCGGAACCGTTTTTCGTAAACTGTAACTAGTTGATTGTTTACCAGTATTCAAATTAGCGAGTACACAAACATATTGGCTATTATCGTTTATGTGTATAAGTATTGAAGTGAAAGAAACTAACGAAGAATATTATTTATTATAACTTGAAAAATAAATTAAACAATACAAATAGTACTTACATTTACATGGAGTTAAGTCATCTTTATCAGTTTCTTTTTCTTGTACTAGTTAATTTTCAATAGTATAATCTTCTTTTTCTTTTTTTATAGAAGTTACCAGCTTCAAACCATCAACTAGTTGATTTTAAAACGAATTTAACCGAAAATTTAGAGTTTAAAACGTCTTATTAGGCTGCTGCCATTTTTTCTGGAAACCATAATTCAGAAAACATCGCTTTTAAAATTAGTGAAATTATTATTCAGTGGGGTCTAAAACAAAAAGTAAATTTTGCAGTAACTGATAATGCCTCAAATATGGTCATAGCTATTAAATATGTTTTGGAATGAAAACATTTAAATTGTTTTGCTCATATGTTAAATTTATTGATGGAGGACGCACTTAATGCTGTCGTGTACAAATAGATAAAAATAAAAAGTCTTTTTTTTTTCGACAATTCGGCAAAACACACATTTCAAAAAAGTACCTTATCTTCAGAAACGCTTTTAAAGTATCAATTACAACATAACAAAGATCCCAAACGGCCAATCCAAGACGTGGAAACTAGGTAGAACTTCACCTATTACATGTTAGAAATAATGACGGAGTTAGAAGAGGCAATCCGTTCCACATTGGTATCAGTTTAATACAGACTTAGACTTAGACCAAATCTAAATAATGAAGACTGGATTATTTTTTCGTAATTGTCCCAAATTTTACGGCCTTTTAAAGAAATAACAAGTACAATGAGTGGCCAAAAATACTTGAATGATAGTTCAGTGATTGTTCTGGTACGCTGCCTGCAAAAATCTTGCAATAAAATTTTAGCAAACAGTAACCTTACATCCATAGTATCCGACGTAGTACGGGTTTTTATTACTAATTACGGGATAATTACTAATCTCGGGTTTAGCAAAAAGATTTAGAGGGATAGAATACAGTGGCATATGGTCATTATGTACGTTTATGGATTCATGATTTAATGTGGAGGGATTTTCTGATAAAAATGACGCTAAAAAAACAAAAGAAAGAGTTAAGAAGCTGGTTACTTCCATAATTAAAGAACAAGAAGATTGTACTATTGAAAATCAACCAGTATAAGAAAAAGAAACCGATAAAGATGCCTTAAGTCCATGGTGTATTTTTGATTAATTAATTGGACATGACTCATCTAAACGTACACCTGTAGCGAGAGTCCATTACAATGGTGGAAAAACCATCGCCATGTATCTCCTAACTTAACCACTATATTCATAAAGTATTGTAAATGTGAACACATGTTCAAAATCAGGTTTAATTTCAAATAAAAGAAAAGCACGGTTAATAAGAAGTTAAGTAAAAAAAACTTATGTTTTTAAATGTCAATTTAGACGATTCGTGATTTAATAATAACGTGTAATGTAAACGTAGGTACGATTTACTATTTGTATTATTTAGTTTAGTTTTCAAGTTATAATAAAATCTTTTTTTCGTTTCCTTCACTTCAATAAATATACACGTAAACGATAATAGCCATTATGTTTGTTTATGTAGGTAGTTTCTTACTTGAAACGACTATTAAAAAATCATAGTTACTTGTTTACGAAAATCGGTTTTGCGACGTCAATACCCACCTCTATTCGTAAATACCTGTGTACGCTTTGATTCGGTGATTTGACCACGCGACACGCCACGTTGGCAAATAGTTTTGTACGAAGCTTTTTTATTTATATGCAGTTTAATATTTTTATTGGAAATAAGGCATAATGTCACTTTAAAATAAGCTTATTTTGATGTTTACATTTTTAATTCGGAAATCGTTTTTAAAATACCAAACATTAATAAATTTTATTTATATAAAACGATTTCCGAAGTATAAATCAAAATGTTATATTACACTTATTGTAAAGTAAAATTGTGGCATATTCCCAATAAAAAACAATAAGCTGCCATTTAAATCCATTTCGCCCCAAATTTCATTATCTTGGAGCATTGTTCAAATGCGAAAAGACAACAGGTCAAATAAAACCAATAAGTTTGGCAACGTTGAATTTCCCCTTTTTATTATATCCACTCCATATCCACTCATTTATGTTCGGTGATATAAAAGGCGGACACCTAATATATCTCTCTCTTTTTAAACAGTTGTTTCTCACTCCATCTCATGTAAGGTCCATACCGACCATAAACTTTTACCTATACTGTATATGTTTAAACAGTTTGGTTTCTTTGTTTAGTTTGATTGGATCAATAACGTGACATAGTAATTTTATATTTTGTTAAAATCAAAAGGTTTTAATATTTAACAAAATTTTCACATTTCCATAGATACTCTCCTGACACCTCTGCATTTTCACCATACGATAGACACACTCCTAGTCCACCTTACGATTCAGAATACGGCGCATCGCCTCCACCGATGCGTGGTTACAGTCCTTACAGTAGAGATGATAGGAGAGACTATAAAAGACCAATGCACATTTCAAATGGGAGAAGTAATAAAGGTAACAGATTTTTGGATATTATGAACATTACAACAATCAATAAAACAATTACCTAATTAAAAATTTAATTATTGTTCTCTTTTCAGGTTCACTAATGAGTTCTGGGTCTGATCATTCAAACGATTCCTTAGATAAAGTAAATAGAAAATCGTCGAAGATGGTCTAGCAGTTCAGCTGTTGTTTCTATAGGAATTAAAAAAATTGCTCCTTTAAGCCAAAGCTTAAAATTACTTTCAAATTTTACTTCTTTGTGTATGAGATGTATCTATTTTTTTATTGTATTGTTTTTTCCGTGTTAAGTACAAAAATTCAGTTACAATGGTAGTCTGATTTACATCAATAAGATAACGAGAATTTTAAAATAAAGAAGGTGTAGTATTTATTGTAGAAAAAAGATGCAGAGAAAATACAGGGATATGGATAAGCTATCTTTTAAGTTATACAAAAACCTATACCTACATTTTTTTCTTGAAGATTTATATATTTCTGTCCGTCGTCAATCAGTTCTTGTAATATTTTCTTTTCGAGTTTAATGTGTACTTGATTTCCTCAATGATTTTAAAGAAACGGTTCCCTAATGTCTTAAGGAATGTGGTTACTATATTCATATATTTTTATTACATCTAAAAACAGCCTATTATACTCAAAGAACAGCTTTAGTAACTATTGCTATTTGTTGAAATGCCTAAGAAATAGAACGTTGCTGTAATTTTTAGTTCATATTAGCTTTTCACTGGTAAACATGTCAGTATTTGCATTTTTTAGGTCGAACACTTTAAACATTTTCGTATACCATCTAATTCGAGCGATTTTTTGAGATTTGAAAGTCCAGAATGCATTTTTCACAGCTAAAGATTCATGCAAACTTGAATATATTGTAGTATGTGACTTTTATCTCATAGTAAGTCAAATGCATTGTATACTGTGTTTTTCCTTAAAAAACATTTTATCCATAAACAAATTTCAAAGGATTTCTGATGAGGTTTCTTAAACAAAACTTAAACAAATTAATGTTTAAATTACATCAAAGCATAAAACAAAAACCGTGCTTCAAAAATCACAATCAAATTCTGCTTTCTAAATTCTGGGTATACAGTTCCAATAAATTTCCAAATCGATATCTATTAGGCGTTTAATGCCGAAATAACAAATTGTTACTTAGTGTTGGTTCATCCAAGCTATTAAAAATATCTTATTTAGATTTCACTTTTTTTTTTCATTTCGCAGCTAAATATTTAAGGCAAGTTAAATGTATTGTAGTCTGCGACATGCCTTATTTCACGTTAAGTCAAATGCCTTTTATGATGATAAGAGTTTCTGCTCAGATGTTCCATAAAGCCAAAAAATTTGGTAAACTTAAAATTTAGATCGACTTAAAACGTAATCGCTCACCAACAAGTTTCATATATTTTCTGATGATATTTTGTTATAAAAAGCTATTTAATCCACTTTGTACCTTTATTACAATCATTACACATCATTCTATGGAAACGATGTTTTCTTTTACAATTTTTCATGTTATAGTGGGAAGCAATGTCATATGTGAAATATTGGAAACTAATGAAAAATTTCCACGTTGCCATCTAGTGAGCGTTCGTAAAATCTTTAAAGGTGCCGTTTCTGTACACAAACGCAAGGTTTTTTATTAAAAGAATAGTGTCTCAAATATTTAATAGTATTTTTACTATACACAACTTTGATAAGCCCAACAAATAAATAGTATTTTTCCTTACACCATCTTCTATTTTCAAACATCCAATATAATTGGATAACAGTAAAATATTTTAACTACTGTATCCGAATTATGTACTACTAGTAATTAAACTTAAATGAATACTAAGTATTTTTTAACGAGTTATGAGTTTGCTATACAGTATTGTTGAATATCTGCTTTATATTCAGATTGTTACAGGAGGGGTAATTTATCTTTTTAAAAATTTTAATAGCCAAATTTAAATGCAAAAATTTCTTACTTGTTTGTAAAGCCTGGTGTGTGAGGTAGTGATGTAACGAATATTCGCATTCGCATTCGCGAATATTCGCATATTTTTCATATTCGCATTTGCATTCGCATTTGCAAAATTTGTGCGAATGTTTTGCGAATATTACACAGCTTGCATTTAGCTCGTTCAGTATCGAAAAGTGGTGAAAAATAAGTCCATATTGCACTATAATTTGATTTACTCATAGTAATAAATCGCTAATCACACTTTAACTAAAAATTCACTTGTACTTGTGCACCAGCAGAGCAGGGCAAGTGGAGTGACTTGTGTCCCGTGAAATTTTTATTGGAACTATAACCAGAGAACTTAGTTCTCTGCTATAACTTTCTCTCTATAACAAGTCAAATTTGATTATAACAAGAGAAAATAAGATCGAAAAACGTGCTTTCTACGTTTTTGTCCCGGACGTGACTATAAATAAATACCTTTTTAAACTACCCCTCAATAAACTTAACCGCCTACAATAAACTTCTTTACAATAAATACAACTGTTTCACATCTTTACTTTAGCAAATATGATAGAATGATACTGGACAATTTAAAGCAGTTAAAAATGACAGAGTTTTTCCAATTGACTACACACCTCGCGGAAATGAGACTGCCGGCAGTGCCAGAGACAATTAAAATTGCCAAATTAAAAAAAAACTGAATATTCGCATTCGCATTCGCGAATGTCGGTGGCATATATTCGCATTCGCATTCGCATTCGCGAATGTTTAAAAAATGACATTTGTTACATCACTAGTGTGAGGATATTTGGTCTATCAGGTCTGGTATATTTGATTCCTTCGAGTATGTGTTATTTGGTATATAAACTGTAAAAATATGTAAAAAGTGTAAAAAGAATCGTTAATAAAAATATTGGTATATATAATTTGGTTTATTTTAATCCTATTTGATGTTGAAAAAGAAAAAGTGTAGTCAAGTATACGGAAAATTTGAGAAAACATTTCTGGCAAACTGTGAAATATATAACAGCTGAGTGGTAGTGGAGTGGAGTATAACACCTGACCTTGTTGTCAAGAGATAATCAGTAATTGCTGAAATACATAGTAGTGAAATATATAAGAATATGTGCTGAAATATACATTTCATACTATAAAACGCCGTTTGCACTCTCGAACGAAGTGTCGAAGTAAAGTTAATCGAGGCGAGGGGACTCTACATACTCGTGAAGTCGAGTAATGTAGTGTGACCCTTCGTATTCGAGCTTCGGGTCCTTTGACTCCGACGCGAGAAACCGACACAGAACGGAAGAAGAAGGAGGGGAAGCGAAGTCACATGAAATACCTGGATACACTCTCGTACTCGGTGAACTTCGATCAACTTCGCGAGTAGTATAGTGGCCGCTTAAGATTAACGGCTTGAGTTATGGCGAACCTACAAAATTTTTTAAGACAAATTAAATTTAAACGCACAGGTACATACTGCAGAAATAAGAGTCAGAATTGAAAAAGCACGTGCCAACTTCGTGAAAATGAAAAAGATTTTATGCAGCAAAGATCTGATATTGGCCCTCAGAATAAGGCTAATTAAAAGCTGTACTCTACTATGGAGCTGAATCATGGACATTAAATCTGAATACAATAAATCGACTGACGCGTTTGAAATGTTGACATTTAGTAGATTTTTAAGGATTCAATGGGTAGATAGAGTCACGAATATAGAAGTGTTAAGAAGAATAGGCAGAGAGCGGGAAATGGAAAATACAATTAAAGAAAGGAAATTGCAATATCTCTGACATGTGATGAGAGGCGAAAGATACATCTTGAGACTCATAATTCAAGGAAAAAATAGAGGGTAGGAGAAGCGTAGGAAGAAGACGCGTTTCCTAGTTGAAGAACATGAGAGTGGTTTGGTTGCTACTCAAGGCAATTGTTCAGAGCAGCTGCCTCGAAAATCAGAATAGCCATGATGATTGCCATCCTTCGTGGCGGAGATGGCACTTTAAGAAGGTACATTTGACAGTTATGTCCTGATATTTATGTTAGACCAGTAGATATAAACACATATTAATTTAATTTATTTATCGCATGACTACATACACATAAAGTTCTAAAGCATTAAAGAGTAAAATTCACAAACAAAAATTTAACTTATTTAGATATTCAATAGTTATTTTTTTGTAGTCAACAGGAAATCCTCGCTACTGCCTTCATAGGCTTTCATTTGGCACTCCTTGACTACATGTTAACCTATGTCTTGCATGGGAGATGGTAGCTTCACGGTTGTTTGTGGAATCTGTACATTTATCGTAGTGTGTACGAACACTATTTAGACGTATCCTTGTTTTCCTTGATAACTCAGTCATGTTGTCCTGTGTAATAAATACATGATACGTTCTGGGACTATTCTATCTGCCAGGAAGTGACAACATCGAACTTTATATCGAAAAATTGTTGGGCTGTTACTAAGTGCGGATGTCTAGAGTTTAGTCTTTGCGGCTCAAGGGTTTTAATGTCCTCATGCGCTAGGAACTTGGGGGCTCGCAAGAGCGAGTTTTCCTCGAAGATGTGCTGAAGGTATCTCGAGCAGTAGCTCGAATAGGTATCGCTCTCTATAGGTTATTATATTATCATAAGATTTACACGTTGCGAAAAAAGAAGTTGTAATGGCAAGAGTTAAAAGACAACGAAGTATATTAAAAATCATTCCGTATTCATCAAGCAGTGACAGTGATTTTTCTTCTGATGACAGATAGGCCCCCCTGTTTCAGACCACCGAATTCACCTATTTCTATGACACCAGATATCTCCAATTTATTAGATTCCGCTGAAGCTACAGAAATGAATACCAAAAAATGTACATTAACAAGAAGGCTAAAACGAAATGAAAAGAACTGGAAAGTAAACATCACTAAAGAGAAACGTTCCAAATCTGAGCCATATTATGACAAATTTAAACAATGCAATGCAAAGGGTTTCAAAATTGTTGCTTGTACAAATTGCAGATATACATGCTCATTAAATTTTAATGAAGAGAATAGGAAGACATTTTGTCAATCCCATTGATCTTTCAACGATTTTAAGAGATAAAAAGATTTTATAATCAAAAATATTCCACCAGTTAAACCAAAACGTTTAAAAAATAATGTTTCAAGTGTAACAGAACAGTTTCAAGATTGTACTTCCTTGAAAGTTTCTTGGGACGGCACAGAGTATGTACCAAGTTTTTTGAGAGAACTCTTTACATTTCTAATGACCCCATAAACACAGTCTTACAAGGAACTAATTCAGCTGGTTGTTTTTTCAGTGAAAATAAAAGAGGTCGCAAAATTCCTGCAAACGCTACTAATGAAGAGTCTATCCAATTGATAAAAAAACATATTGAGTAATTCCCTACTGTAGCAGGGAAAGTCTATCTGAAAATCAAAAGCCAGTCAACCAATGGACATAGAGGCAAATTTTTGGCAATGACTATAATGACTATTTTGTTCGTTCCTAAAAAGGATCAATGTGCAGCATGCAGTAAATATAACATGGCAGATGCAACAAAAAACAAGAGAATATTCAATACACATAATAAGGAAGAATGAATGCCATGAAGCAAAAAATACAGATAAACGTTACCTTAACATAACAGGATATTTAAAACAGCAACATTCGACCTTCAAAGTGAGCAACAAATCCCGCATTCCCCAGTATCCCCCATTTTACTACTCTCGAAAACTGTATGGAAGTGGTGAGCACTCATCTTGCTACTGCTGGAATGAAGTTCATAGAAAGCATGGCAGCAACGAAATTGAATTTATTCTGTTAAAGTATATTACAAACTTACGGCGACAGAGCATTCTAAAACACCGAACAGCTTTTATCATGAATGATTGGCTAGCAATATTTAGGTAAGCAGGGCAGAAAATATGACAGAAGGAGCCGTATGCAGTACGAGAACTTAAATATACAGATTTTTATGGTCTAAATAATTTGGCAATAATAAAACAATAATAAAAATAGAACGAAAGATGAAGACGGCTGCAGAGTATCCTGGCTAAAAATTTAAATGCTTCAAATTTTTTGTAAAAGAACATACCGATCTGATTTTTTTTTTAGAAACGACCATCGCCGTATAAAAAATTAATTATTTCTTGTGGTGCAGGAAGAAGGGTATTAACGATTTACGCCCAATTCCAACTTTGAATAAACGAGATCTAGTCAAACTTTGCAACGAAAATCTTATACCAGATAAAGTTCATCATTATTATAAAAATATTCCAACAAGTACCTATACAAATAACCTGCCAGAACAGTGTTCAATTTTACAGGAATTAATTATAATTTATAATAGTAATCAAAATAATAACATTTTTCATCACTTTCATCAAGTTACTATATCCCTAAGTAACAATCAGGAATATGATAATTTGAGGTAAAATTTATTACGTAGGTACATCTAGCTTAATAATTTCACAATTATTGACTTCTGATCATTTCTTTTAAAACAGAATATTAAAGTAATACCTAACCTCCATAAATAATGACACTTCTATCTATAATATTCATAAATAAAATTATAAAGTGAAAAACGAACAAAATGTTGATTATATCTGTTGTGCTTATTTAGTACAATTAACTTATATACTTATATTTATATATATATATATATATATATATATATATATATATATATATATATATATATATATATATATATATATATATATATATATATATTGCTATAATGTTTTGTTTGTGTATGAGCAATGAGTGTTTTTAAATAACATATATAAGTGTAGAGTTTTTATCGTGGGTCTCAAAGAATTAGTTTGTAAGTACTTTTTTAAATTATCTTTATTATAATTATTATGAAACACACATATATCTTGAATATAGACAATATAAATTTAGAACAACCTATCTTAAATTTGAAATTCTTACAATAATTAAATTATATTAACAAAATTTGGTACCTTTCTGTCACTGAATGCCTAAATCAAATTGTTTTCCAAAATAAAGGGCTTAATCACCACTCAATATCTTCGTTATGAGCCTTGGTTATCCTTCTTTTATGAAATTGTTTCTCCAAATACACCAAAATGTTTTAATTATCAGCTTCCACCATTTTAAAATATTTTCTTCTCAATAGCATTTATAAATCCGCAAAATATTCTTCTTTATTGATTTTTTGTTTATTCTTCTTTCTAATAATCTTATTTTTTCTTCTTCCAATCTCCAATCACCATATAAATATTATAATTTTAATTTCTTCTAATCTCCATATACATAATATAATTTTTAACCTCCAACTAATACTCTCTTGATACTATTTTTTCAATCTCCTTGTAATATACTTTCCAAAATATTATACAACTTTCATACTAAACCACTGTCTTCTGCATACTGACCTGACCAACAAATACTACTCATTGAATACTGTCCTTTATATTTATACACTAATACTGATCATACTGACTAATTAACTAACTAACTAATTGTCCAACTAACTAATAATGAATTATCATACTGTTCTCTCTCCTCCAAATTACCGAGTATTTATATCATTTCAATGTTCCAGAATCATCTTAAAAGAAAGCATATTCAAATTGTTCTATTTCATAGATATTTGAATATTCTCGAATATTCTACTAAGCAAATAAGGTTAACTTCCTTCTATTGACGTCTTATTTCAATTGTTCTAGATAATTCTTTACCCTTCTATCGAGAATGTTATGGAAATTTAGGCTTTTCAGATCAAAATGTAAACTTATATATAAATTAAACATCTTAAATTAATAAATAACACTTTTTTAAATCCCTAATTATCATTTTAAATGACTACTTTCTGTTCAAATTCACTCTTATTTACAAAAAATCATAACCCAAACTCACTTCCAGTGTATATTTGGTTGCCTATAAATATGGCGCACTCAAATA